TCTCTTCTAGGTTGTTGTTCCTGACCTCTGTTTGGCTTATCATCAGCTCGTCGCTTGGACGACTGAAAGTCCTCTGACAGTATGAAGCTGGCTGACCTGTCATTCACTTCGTTCCACGTCGTTCCACGTCTTCAGTGGATTCTCCAGCAGGTCGTCTAGGAACCGGCCACGCTTCAACCCATGTAGCAGGGCGGACAAGCAGATTGTATCTGGGATATTATCAATGTCCAGTGTGGCTTTGTTGAACCGCTGCATGTAATCTCTCAAAGACTCCCCTTCCTTCTGGTTAACCTGCATCAGCTCAGTTGCTGTGCGCTTGATCTCCCTTTGGCTTGCAAATTTGTTAGAGAACAACTTGGCGAGCTGGGAAAAGGAATCTATTGAATGTCTGGGGAGTTTGTGATACCATCTTCGGGCTGTTGATTTCAGTGTCGCCGGGAACACTTTGCACATCATGGCATCATTAGCGTTTTGAATCCTCATGATGGCTTGATAGGTGTGTAGATGTTCATCCGGGTCTTTCGTGCCATCATATGTCTCTAGGTGGGGAATTTTGAATCCCTCTTGATATGGCTCTGCCGTGATGGATAGGTTCAGTGGAGCACTATCCAAATCTAAAGTCTGCTGATGCGACCGGGGGCTTTTCAGCTCGTCAATGGATTTCTGTACATCCCGCAGTTGCCTTTCAAGGTCTGCGTTCTTTCTCATCAATTCTTCACTGTATTTGGACGAGCTGGGCTCGATATTCAGCTTCCCACTTCCTCTCGGCCTGGTCGGTACCACTATATTGCTTAGGGCGGGTGAGTTTCTAGTCGCCATAACCGCAGCTGGTTGTGCATCCCTGTTCAGCAAAGGAATCAGGGGGTCATCAGGGATTAAACGGGCAAGGATTCTTCCTATTGCCATTTCGAGAACTCTGGTTCTCTCTTCGAGCTCGGTTGTCCGAGCAGGTTCTGTTGACCTTTCAGGTCGTTCACGCTGTGCATTGTTCGGTCTGGCAGATCTTTGTCTCGTTCCTGTTGGAGCTTGGAACTGTTCAGGCTGGGTTGCATACCCAGTTGGTGTTCTCTCATCATCCGTCTCACTTAAGTGATCCTGTTCGGCTCCTCCTACAAAAAGATTTCTTGGCATCGGCCTAAAGTCATTCAAGCCGGCCTCAGATACGTGATCGTCCTC